AAGGAAGGAAGGAAGGAAGGAAGGAAGGAAGGAAGGAAGGAAGGAAGGAAGGAAGGAAGGAAGGAAGGATAAAAGGGAGGGAGTGTGGGGGGAAGCCAAGCCCGAGATTCCCAGCACTCTAGGGCAGTGCCCCCTCCCCAAATTTTGGGGTACCAGTGATCGGTTTCGTGGCAAGGAGTTTTTCTGTGGACTGGAGGGAACGTGGTTTTGCATTCTGGCTGCATTCCACAGATGTGGCTTCCCTTGTTTGCGTGGCCCAGTTTCTGGCATGCCGCAGCCCGCCATCCACCCACAGACCCGGGGGGGGGGACACTCCTGCTCTAGGACACCCCAGAGCTTCCTGGCGCCTTCCATGTTTCACAAAATAAAATGGTAAACCCCAACATGTTGGGGCAAGACTGGACAGCATCTCCTTCAGCCTGGAAAAAGAGGGCCAGGAGATGACGGATAGAAATTGGAGCCAGCTCGGTCAATCGGACTCTGCCAATGGCAGCCAATTTGTGGGAGCACTCACAACTCACTCGCCAAGCGCCCCGGAGCTGCCCGCTAGGCCAAAGAATGTGGAAGTGGGCAAAGAATGTGTAAAGGGGGGGGGGTTGCGGGGAAATCCAGTTAGGAAAGACGCAGAGGAATACGATCCGGCCAATGAAAAAGAAAGCTGTAAATTTTGGGAAGCAGAACGTCGAAATCAGCGTCCGTAGCTTTCTGAACTCCCCAAATTCAACCGTTCTGGATGTCGGAAAAAGCAAACGACCTCCCTCCTTTTACAAGGAGTTCTCGACTCATACCACAACCTGAGACTTTCAGTCACTGAGCGATGCCGTCCTTAAACGAGTCATCCGGCAACCGAACCCAATTTTACAATCGTCTTTTTTTTTTAACCATAGTTCTTAAGCGAATCACCACAACGGTGAAACAAAACCTGGGCTTAAACCGCAGTGATTCTTTTGGGGGGGGGGATTTCAGTTGCAAATTGCGATAACGTTGTGTGACCGCAAGGCATTGCCACCATCATAGGTGTGAGACCGGCCTCAATCGAAGCCAGTGTGACTCCAGGCACGGGGCGATGGTTACAAAGCTTCAAGGACGGGCTTTAATTCAACTTTTCCTGAAAGCCGTTGCCATTTTAAACCACAGTTAAGTGAACGGCTGTAAGCCAAGCAGAATCGTGGCTTGTTTTTCCTTCATTGGAAAGACAAAAGGAGAGTGGGGGTTGCAGGACCCTGACTCCGGGCCTTTTGAGATTTCAGCACTAGTATGACAGGGACACGGTGGCTCAGTGGCTAAACACTGAGCTTGTCGATCAAAAAGGTTGCCAGACATCTGTGCTAGTCGTTCCCGACTCTAGGGGGCGTTGGTGATCATCTTCGTTTCAAAGCCGAAGAGCCAGCGCTGTCCGAAGACGTCTCCGTGGTCATGTGGCCAGCATGGCTCAATCCTGAAAGCGCACGGAACGCTGTTCCCTTCCCACCAAAGGTGGTTCCTATTTTTCTACTTGCATTTTTTTTTACGTGCTTTTGAACGGCTAGGTTGGCAGCAGCTGGGACGATTCACGGGAGCTCACTCCGTCACGCGGCGCTGGGGATTCAAACCGCCGAACTGCCGACCTTTCTGATCGACAAGCTCAGCGTCTTAGCCCCTGAGCCACTGCTTTCCCGTAGGGCATCTCTTCTTCTCTGCCCTGGGATTCCAGAAACTTCTTCCCTCGGGCGGTTTTTTTTTCTTCTCCGTGAAACGGCTCCTGGACGACACGTCATGGTTGGGATGCATTCAAATACGGGGCGCATTGCTGGCTGGAGCTGAGCATGGGCAGGGGAGAGGCGGCATCATTGCCCAAGGGCGATAAGTAGCTGCCACGGCTGTCTAAGGTTGGCATCACCGGCTGGGCTCCCATTGCAGCTTGGAGTAGGATGCGATGGGGTTGGGGGGCCGACTTAGGGCCTGTTTGATCTACGGAGCAGCTGGCACGGCGGTGGCTTCCTCGGCTTTGCCTTTCCGGTGAGGATTTTGCTCCGGCAGTTGAAAGGAAGTGTGTGAGAAAACTTTCTGCCTTTTCCTTTTTTTTGCTGTTTTCTGCCTGTTCCCTCCCGGTGCTTCCTCCCCCCAAGGCCTCTCTCATCCTTCCCATGAGCAGCGCCAGGAAACTCCCTCCACCCTTTCCAGGATCCGGCGGTCTGGTGGAAAGCGGCGCTTGCAGAACCAATCTGGGACCGTGTTTGAGTGATGTGTGTGTGGTGTGTGGGAGCCCCGACTTGCCTCTCTGCAGCTCCCCCCCCCCCCCCCCCCGCTGCCTGCGGCTTCTGAACCATTCGTGTTTGAGAAAAATCAGGCCGGGGGATCCAGACTGCAGTGTTGTCCGCCCTACTCTTTTTCCGCCGAGGGTCCGAGGCATGGACCGCGAGACCGAGCGAGCCCTTTTCCCACGGCCCAAACTCAGGGGTCTCCTGTGCAGCTTCTGCCTTGCCCTCCTCCCCCTTCCATCCCTTGATTATTTCTCATGTTTCTTGGCTTGGTGCACTCCCGCCGTGCCGAGGCCCATTTCCAAGGATGGGACGCGCAGAGCAAGGCGTTCATCCCTTCTCTATATGTGGCCATATAGAGCAGGGGTCCCCAACCGTTCTGAGTTGGTAGCGGGGATAGTAGGGATGGGAGGAGCAGGGGCGTTCGCGAGCATCGTAGCTCGCACAAGTGGGACCCAGAGCGCCCACGAGGCTCGCGCGAGTGAGGCCTCAACCACCCGCAACGTATGTGGTTCTGAATAGGCCACAGACCAGGTCGTGGGCCGTGGCCCACAGTTTGGGGACCCCTGATAACAGAGGGCGCAAAGAGCACCCCACTCGCTTTCCTGTCCTATCCACCTCTCTGTCTTTTTGTCTGTCTCTTCTGGCCATCCCGTCTGGATTTCCGTCGCATCCTCCTCTGCTCCCTGCTCTTTTGCATCTCGCTCAGGAATGAGCCCACTCCCCAGTCCATTGGAACCCCAACGTCCCCCTTCCTCTGTTTGCATTGCATGGTGGAGAGAGTCCGTGCCTGCTCACCCCCGTTGCATGAACATGTGGGTCTCGTCACCGAGAATGTGAACTGGATTTATGTACCTTGTTTTGTTTTTTTCCCTCTCTTTCTTTGTCCGATTTCTCTCTATCTTCTCTTTCCCCCCGCCCCCAAATTTGTCCGGGCTGTGATCACTGGCTTCCTCTCCCCCTCCCCTCCCTCCACCACGACCTCTCCCTTCCTCCTCCCCTCCTCCCCCAGGACACAGGCAGAATGCCCGCAGTTGCTGGACGTGGAAGACATGGTCCGGATGAGGGAACCGGATTGGAAGTGCGTTTACACGTACATCCAGGAATTCTATCGCTGTCTGGTCCAGAAAGGGCTGGTCAAAACCAAAAAGTCTTAAGCTCCCCTTCGCTACGGCGCCACGGTGAGAAGCTTTCCTCTCCTTCTTCCCCGGGGTTGTTTCTTTCGGGGGGTGGTAGGTGGGGGGGATTGTGTTTAGGGACTGGGGCTTCGGGGTTCCCCCGTGGATGCAAGCCGAGAGGTGCAGACCCCTACCCCTCGGGTGTCCTCAGTTGGTAGGTTGCGTGCATTTGTGAGAAATGCAGGGATTCCCAGATTTAGGGGGTTTTAGCCTGGAAAGAGGGGTGCTTCCTCAGAGACAGAGGGTCCCTTCCTAGGACTTTGGGACAAGCAGGAGCGGACAGGTGGTGGAGGGTCCCTTACCAGCTCCTTGGAAAAGGCAGGAGACGGACAGGATAGAAGGTCCCTTCCCAGGACTTTGAGAAAGGCAGAAGCGGACAGGTGGTGGAGGGTCCCTTCCTAGGACTTTGGGAAAGGCAGGAGACGGACAGGTTATAGAAGGTCCCTTCTCAGGACTAGGACAAGCAGGAGCGGACAGGTGGTGGAGGATCCCTTCCCAGCTCCTTGGAAAAGGCAGGAGACGGACAGGGTCCCTTCCCAGGACTTTGAGAAAGGCAGAAGCGGACAGGTGGTGGAGGGTCCCTTCCCAGCTCCTTGGAAAAGGCAGGAGACGGACAGGACAGAAGGTCCCTTCCCAGGACTGGGACAAGCAGGAGCGGACAGGTGGTGGAGGGTCCCTTCCCAGCTCCTTGGAAAAGACAGGAGACAGACAGGTGGTGGAGGATCCCTTCCCAGGACTGGGACAATCAGGAGCAGACAGGTGATTAAGGGGCCCTTCCTAGGACTTTGGGAAAGGCAGGAGCGGACAGGTGGTGGAGGGTCCCTTCCCAGCTCCTTGGAAAAAGCAGGAGATGGACAGGTTATAGAAGGTCCCTTCCCAGGACTGGGACAAGCAGGAGCGGACAGGTGATTAAGGGGCCCTTCCTAGGACTTTGGGAAAGGCAGGAGCGGACAGGTGGTGGAGGGTCCCTCCTCTACACATGCTTCAGCCAGATCTTGTAAGTTCTTGGAGAGAAGCTGGAAAAAGTGAGTCACTCCGGCCTTCTTAACAGCATCTCCTCCCCTCTCCTTGGGGGCCGGGAAGCCTCACACCGAGCGAGCTACACAGTGGCTTTATAAGGACAGCCTGGCTCACTTAGAGCTCACCCAAGCCTCCTCCTCCTCTGCCTCCGGCGGGAGGCGGCACAGTGGTGGCATCCATCAATTCCTCTCTTGCCCGCCCCACTCAGCTACCCTGTGCGTAACTGAGTTGCTGCCTCAATTGGCCCTGCGGCCCTCGTCCCTGTTGGGGTTTGGGGGGCATTCAGGCCGAGAAAGCCCTGGGATGGGACACCACCAGGAAAGGCACGGGCTGTCAGCTAGAGTGGGATGTAGAAAAAGGCCCCGTTGGAAGAAGACAGCGGAGTTTCTCTTCTTGTGTAGCTGTGGGAAAACCACACCACTGATCCATCAGACTTTCTCTTTTATGGTGGGAAATTTTGATTTCCACCTTCCCAGCCAGAGGTGGGTTTCTACCGGTACGGTACGGTTTGGTCGAATAGATAGTAACTCGGCCAGACACGTGACCATACCAGTTCTATCCCGGACGCCGCCATCTTTATTTTCTGTTCTGCATTTACACAGAACAATCTTCATTGAAAAAAATATAATTTTCCCCCCTTTTTTTAACGCCAATCTCAGAAATGGACCGTTTTTCACAAAAACGGAGGCGTTTTTGCCTTTCCCCAGCCTCCAGAAGCACTCTGCAGGCTTCAGCAGGGCTGGGGAAAGGAATAAAAATGGCCATTTTCTGCCCGTTTTTTGCAAAAACGGGGGGGGGGAGGGTTTCCCTTCTCCCAGCCCTGTTGAAGCCTGTAGAGTGTTCCTGGGGGCCGGCGGGGGGAGGACAAAACTTGTTTTTCTTACTGGGTAAGTTTGCCGGTGCTCCCTTAGTTCTGGCGAGGCTGAAGGGCGCCCCCCCCCCCCAAACCCATCAAAACTTTTTGCCACCGTTTCGGTGGGCATGGCTTGGTGAGGGGGTCATGTGACTGAGTGTACGTGAGTGACATCAAGTTAGCCACGCCCACTCAGTCATACCCCCCCCCCAATCTAGCCGCGGCCTCTGAACTGGTAGTAAAAAAAATTGAAACCCACCCCTTGGTCCCAGCCCTGCTGATTTGAACCACAGGTTACAAATTTCACTGGAGTTTCCCCCCCCCCCCCAAGAAATACTGTCAGTACAGTATCATAGATTACGCTTTGAAAATAAAAAATAAATAACTGCGGTGTTCAAACCGCCTTCAGAAGTACGGGTAGTCCTCACTTAGCGTCCCCTCTTGGGACAGAGAAGAACCGTGGTCACTAAGCCCACGGAAAATCACATGACCACGATGGGTTCACGGCCTCATTCCTCCTCGGTTGCTAAGTGAGTCACTGCAGGTTGTTAAAACGAGGTGCCAGTGGACCCTGAGGTGAGATTCCCGGAGCGGCTTCTCCGTTTCATGGAGGTAGGGCCACGAGAGGCTGCTATCGCCATAAGTGGGAGGACTGGTTGCAGAGACTGCGGGTGGGGGGGGGGTGACACCACTGTAACGTTAAACGGTCACTAAGCAAAGCCGTTGGTAAGTGAGAACCCCCTGAGGCATCTCTGTGCCAACGTGGCATTCTCTGAGCAGCAGAAATGTAGATCTCGGAATTTACATCCGGCTTCCTCCAAAGGCTAAATCTTAAGAAATTTGATGGCCTCAAAACGATGATGTTAGTTCACCAGTCAGCCTCACTGAGGACTAGAAGCCTGACCATTTTGTAAGTGGCGTTTTGCTCCAGGGAAGGAGGGACGATTAGCTGTATCGATCAGAATGCCTGGGCCCTACTCCGCGGGCGAGAAGTTGATATCCGTATTAAAACTTTGCTGAATCTGTATGCAGGTGCTCTTAAACTTATGACCACAGCCCAACGTGGATGTCACTAAGTGAGACAAATATTTTTAAACGTGATTGTAATTCTTGCCACGCCCATTTCAATCCTGTCCCTCCTTTGGCATCCTTTCTTTCACCGTTCTATTCCACCGTTTTAGCAATAGCAGTTAGACTTATATACCGCTTTATAGGGCTTTCAGCCCTCTCTAAGCGGTTTACAGAGTCAGCATATCGCCCCCACAGTCTGGGTCCTCATTTCACCCACCTCGGAAGGATGGAAGGCTGAGTCAACCTTGAGCCGGTGAGATTTGAACCGCCGAACTGCAGAACTACAGTCAGCTGAAGTAGCCTACAGTACAGCAATCTAACCACTGCGCCACCTCGGCTCCGGTTTTGTTGATATTAATGTCACTTCCGTCCCACGGCGAGTTGTCCTAGACCAGGGGTGTCAAACTCAAGGCCCGCAGGCCAGATCCAGCTCGCGGGGTACTTAGATCTGACCTGCGGGGCCACCCTGGAAACAGCGAAGGACTGGCCCGCAGTGCCTCTGCTCCCCAGCTCCGTTTTTGGCTGCAACAGCCCCCTGCAGTCCTCTGCCAGCAAAAACGGAGCTTGGGAAGGGCTCCGCTTCTGCTGGCAGAGGGTTGCAGAAGGCCGCCGCAGCCGAAAAAGGAGCGGGGAGCCCATTTTGGCTGGCAGGGCGCTCAGCCCACCACAGGTGCCCCCAACATGAGTGACGTCGATCTGACTACGCCCACCCCATCGCCCTGAGGTCAAACACAATCCTGATGCGGCCCTCGATGAAATCGAGTTTGACACCCCTGTCCTAGACACGGCTGGATCCTGGCCCCAATCGCAGCTTAGTCCGAGGCGACGGTGGGCTCTTCCTCCCGCCCCACTCCACCCCACCCCCGAATCAAACCCCGTGTCCCTTGGCTTTTGCAGGATGCTGGTGGATTGCGTCCCGCTGGTCGACGTGGAAGACATGATGATCATGGGCAAACGCCCGGATGCGAAGTGCGTCTTCACCTACGTCCAGTCCCTCTACAACCACCTGCGGCGTTACGAGCTTCAGCGGCGGCAGGCGCACCTGTAGCCTTCTCCTCTTCCCGAGGGACCTCCCTCTCCCCCCCCCGCCAAAGGCTGGGCGGGCAGTCGAGGAGCAGGGGGGTGGGTGAAAGCTTTCCCCACTCTTCCCCACCTCCTGTTCTTCTGGGGGCTGCAGCAGCACCCGTTTCCCCCCACCGCAGGCCAGCCGTTTGGCAAATTTGGACCACACCGAGTGCCGGGTGAGGCCGCCCGGCACAGAAAAAAGGGAACACCGTAAGGTTTGACTGCCGACTCTTCACCACACTTGCTTTTTATACTAAGGTTGCTTTGATTGTGATAAGTTATTCTGTTTTTTTTTAAAAAAAAAACGCCCCCTCCCCAGTCCTGACGGTACCAGAGCTTTCTTTCCCTGAAGCCCCAAACCCAACAAAGGGGGATCTGTTTGGAGGCGGCTTGCAAGAGATCTACTGGATCTCAGCGTAGGGTCTGTCCGTTGTGTGAGCCCCACGCTGTGTCCGGCGGTTTGGGGGAAAGCTCCCTTCTGCTTTCTCTGCAAACGCAGGCTAGTTCATTTGATTGCAGCAGCTTTTTCCCCTCCCACCCACCCCCTCGTTCCTAGGGACCACTCCCCCACCCTTCTGAAGGCGAACCGAACCAGGGGCCCACACGTAGAACCCCTCCTGCGGGGACGCCGGTCTTCCGCGGCCGCCTCGGGGTTGCCCACCAGCAAAGCCCAGCTCGGATCACGGATAGCCGTGTGTGTGTGTGTTCACTGTTTGTATTTTGGCACGCTTTTTTGTCACCGAGAGAGCCGCGAAGGAGGGGGGAGAGGGCGTGGGAAGGGAAAGAGGGGGAAGTTGTGCTCCTGACCCCACTCATCCCCAAATTAGCTCGCCTCGGTCTTTGGGGAGGCAGCCTCTGGCGCTGGGGGACGCGATCGTGAAATCGTGTCCTTTCTTTGGTTCGCAAGAAAACATGAAGAGGAAGGACGCTTTTTATAAAGCTGAGGTCCGCCGTGGGATGCGGGAGGGGGCTGTGCCAGCTCTTTCCACTGGCGGTGACCAACAACAGATGTTGCCGAGATGTTCCTCCTGAGGGGGGTGTGTGTGTGTGTATCTCAACTTCATCACCAAGGAGGACCCAAATGGGGAGTTTTATTTCCCGTGGGTTCCCGCCACGGATCTGTTCCTTGGGTAAACACGCCCGCACGCACACATACACACACACCAAGCTGCCTTGCCCGCTTCCTCGAGTGACTCCGAAGTGGGGCAGGCCATTCCTGCGCGGGGTGCCAACGGGACAGTGGACTTGTGCTCCTCAGCGCCTCCCTCTGGGATTGTTAACCCTTCTCGCACCAGCACAAGAGTGTATCAGCACCACCAAGACAATAAAAGCGTTTGGATTGTCGTCCCTGCCTCATTCCTGCCTTCGCCTCGCCCGCACACCTCCCTCCCTCCCTGGCAATGATGATGTTACCTAGCTGGGTCATGAGACGTCTGCAAGGAAGCAAGCCAGCTCAGAGAGCACCAAGGACCCCACACTCTTCCTCCTCCTCCTCTTCCTCCTCCACCTCCTCCTCCTCCCCCCCCTGCAAACCCCTCTCCTTTCTAGCACTGATGATGTTATCTAGTTGGGTCATGAGACGTCTGCAAGGAAGCAAGCCAGCTCAGAAGAGCACCGAGGACCCCACCGTTTTCCTCCCTCTCCAAACCCCTCTCCCCTCTACTTCTGATGATGTTCCCTAGCTGGGTAATGAAACGTTTGCAAGAAAACAAGCAAGTGGAGAGAGCATGGAGGACCCTACAGTCCTCCCACTTTCCCCCCCACCTCCTCCTCCTCCTTTTCCTCCTCCCTGCACACCCCACTCCCTTCTAGCACTGATGATGTTCCCTAGTTGGGTCTTGAAACGCCTGCAAGAAAACCACTCAGCTCAGAGAGCACCAAGGACCCCACAGTCCCCCTCCTCTTCTTCTTCTCCCTCCTCCTCCCCCAACTCCCTTCTAGCACTGATGATGTTCCCTAGTTGGGTCTTGAAACGCCTGCAAGAAAACCACTCAGCTCAGAGAGCACCAAGGACCCCACAGTCCCCCTCCTCTTCTTCTTCTCCCTCCTCCTCCCCCAACTCCCTTCTAGCACTGATGATGTTACCTAGTTGGGTAATAAAACGTCTGCAAGAAAACAAGCAAGCTCAGAGAGCGACTAGGATCCCACAGAAGTCCTCTCCCTCCTCCTCCTCCTCTCCCTCCACTTCCTCCTCTCCCTTCTAGTTCTGATGACGTTGCCTAGTTTGGCTAACGAAACCTCTGCCAGAAAACAAGCAAGCTAAGAGAGAGCACCAAGGACCCCACAATCCTCCTCCTCACCACTAAATATGTATGGAGATTCCCAGGCATCCAGATCGTGGTTGTCCCAAAAGTGGTTTATTTTCCCCAAGAGGCTGCTGGACTTCCTGCTTTTTTTTTTTGAAGGCGTTTCGCTTCTCCTCTAAGAAGCTGCTTCAATTCTGCCCGGATGGTGGACACAGACCACCCGAGGACACGAATAAAAACCTCCAAGTGGACTCAACGGCTCTCTAAAAGGATGCAAACGGCCAGCCGTCTGCAAGGAGTATCGATCCTTTCCTTCCCCACCATCCGGTCAGAAGCTGAAGAAGCTTCTAGGATGAGAAGCAAAACATCTTCAAAAGAAAAAGCAGAAAGTTCCAGCAGCCTCCTGGGGGGGGAAAAAGCGCACCTTTAGGAGACCCTCGCCGTTAGTTCTCGTGACTTGAGCGGTAAAGTTCGGCAGGGAATTTTACCCGTGGAAAGTCTGCAAAAAAAACAAACAAGAGGTGGATCTCTGGTGGGAGATGTAAGTTTATTGTTACTATCCTAAACCAGTTCGGGATCGCCGGCCTGCTCCCCCCCAACGGACTGCGCTCCCCCAGCCTGATAGGACGTGTCTATCCACCTCCGGCAGCAAGAGCTTTCTGCGGAAGGCTTCATCCGGTCCTACACAGGTGAGGCACAGCTGGAAGGGAAGTGCTGGGCACGCGAGTGGCGCCTCGGGTGGTGCCAGAATGCCAGTCTTGGAATGAAGGGCAGAATTGCTCAAGGCATCTTCCAATAAATCCTGTTAAAGAGAACCGTGTTCTCTCTCTCTCTCTCTCTCTGTTACAGGCTGTCCTTGACTTACAACCGTTCGCTTCGCGACTGTTAAGAACGGCGCTGAAACGCACACACACACCCTGACTTGCGTAACCATCCCCAGTGCCGCAATTGTGATTGTGCTTGCGGCGACTGGCTTGCCCTTAACAAGGGTTGGTGTCCCGCACGATCCCCCATTCGCAACCTTCCCAGCTGGCTTCCAACCGGCAAATGGGGAAACTGGCAGGGAAATTCACAAGTCGGGGGGGGAGGGCGTGCGGCGTCTTGCTTAACAACCGCGCTGCTCCACCCGCGGTTTTTTCCCAGTCTCCGCTGCGGTCATAAGTCGAGGACCGTCTGTAGCAGGCCCAGGATTGCGTATGTGTGGCTGTCTTTATTTTCCACGTTTCTCTTGCGGGTGGTAACACGTTCTTCCCCTTGAGCAAAATTTGCAGCTTTTGCACAGCAGTGGGATTCAAATAATTTTAACAACCGGTTCTCTGCCCTCATTATTTCTTCCAACAACCAGTTCACCAAATTACTCACTTACAACCGGTTCTCTCAAAGTAGTGCAAATCGGTTGAATCTCACCACTGGCTATGCATCTGTGAATATTAATCTCTCCGACAGCACAATTGTGTGTGAACCAGAAAAGAAATCTTATACAGGTTACCTAGATATTTTGAATGCCCCAAGACCTCCCCTTCCTTCCAAGACGGCACCCCTCACAAACACCAACAGAGCACCCCGAATTCTATAGGTCTGAGCCCCCCGCCCCCTTTTTCTGCTTCCCGGGTTTGCCCTTCATTGCTTCCACATCTGGGGGCAGCGAATTGGCGGGCGCCATCTGGAAGGCATCGGGAACAGGGGAATCCGGTGTTTCTTTGCGGTAGAACCCCAATTGTTGCATCAGTTGGTTTATCTCGTCCCGGGACATGTCACTCAAGGGGATTCTCTGTAAATGAAAGGAAACCGTAAGGAAAAAACCGTAGAGAAAGAAATCAAGGGAATCGTAGGGGGAAGAAAATCAAGCGTCCTCTGGCCGCAACCACAGAAAGAAAGCTGGATGTTAACCTTGCAGTTAATCTACTCTGTTTCCCCGGAAATGAGACCTCCCTGGATAATAAGCCCAATCAGGCTTTTGAGCACATGCGCTAAAATAAGCCCTACCCCAAAAATAAGCCCTCCCTGAAAATATTTAAATCATGCGCAGCTGGTCCCCGCTATTTCCTTTGGTTGCTTGCCACACAAACAACACAGGGTGAGGAGGTGAGGCCGGGGGGGGGAGGTAAGGGAGGGGGGAACATGCCTCAAGCACCCCGCATGGCCTTCCCTAATGGCCGCTCCCGCAACTCTAACCACCGCAGCTCTTCTGATGCTAATGGCCGCCGTAAAAAGAGCAGCGGCCATGAGGTGACCACGCTCGCCGTCTCCTGCACCCCAAAAATAATAAGACCTCCCTGAAAATAAGGTCAAGTGTATATTTTAGGGGTCAAAAGAAAATAAGACCCTGCCTTATTTTCAGGGAAACACGGTATAAATTGACGTAACAAATTAAAATAGATTTGGAGAAGTGGAAAACTGCAACTTGACGGGATAAACAGCTACTACAAAAATGAATATTTTGCCAAGACTATTGTATCTGTTTCAAACAACCGCTGCAATGTAGAAGCTACATGAACAGCTGGTGGCCACAGGGCGCCAGCCTTGCTGAGCTGAACACTTGAACTGTTCAAAGCCTCGTGACCAGGGGTGAAACTCAGCAGGTTGTGACAGGTTCTGGAGAACCGGTAGCGGAAATTTTGAGTAGTTCGGAGAACCGGCAAATGCCACCTCTGGCTGACCCTAGAATGGGGTGGGAATGGAGATTTTTGCAGTACCCTTCCTCTGGCACGCCCACCAAGTCATGCCCAACAAACCAAGCCACGCCCACCAAGCCACGGCCACAGAAGTGAGAGTAAGAAAATTTGGATTTCACCCTGGCTCGTGACGAACGTGCCTGAATAATAGAAGGAAGACAAAAGATGGCGAAAATACTTAATTCTCTCTCACCTGGAGCTCTTCAAACTTAATGTTGAGCAGGATGAGTTCGGGATCCGCCCCCGCCAGATATTTCAGGTCCATGTTGTGGCTAAGGGGGAGCGTTAAGGAGCCGTCTCAGCTGCTGGAAAGGGACACCACCAATGCGTGACCCGACAAATGCGCGCCCGACACATGCGTGACGACAAAACGGCGACGTTGAAAGCGCGCCCACTAAAGCACGCCGACAAAACCTCGCCCACAAAAGCTCGATTAGGGTTTTTAGGTTAGGGTTAGGGTTAGGTTTAAGGTTAGAGTAAGGGTTAGGGTTGTTAACATTGTTACCATTGTTTTTGCGTTGTTTTTGATGGCACGCTTTTGTCGGTGCGCACTTCTCAACGCGCTTTAGTGGGTGTGCTTTCGACGTCGCCGTTTTGCCGCGGCGGTTTTGTCGGTGCGCATTTGTCGGGCGCGCATTTGTCGGTGAACCCCGCCAATGTCTGTGTCGCGATTCAGTTCCCTGCATACGCCTGGAATTCGGGGCCTGAGCGGCTTCTATTTTTTCACAAATTGGCCCCACATGCATAGTCTTCCCTGAACCTCCCCCCCTCCCCCCCAAAACGGGCTCCGACTACAAGAATAGAATAGAATAGAATTTTATTATTTGTATGCAGCCCTTCTCCGGGAGGACTCAGGGCGGCGAACAATTCAAGGGGGAAAAAGGGGAACATAAAAAACAAAATACAAATAATAAAAGTAAACAACAGTCACACAACCATACATGTCGAGAGGGGAGGGAACTCATCACCCCCAGGCCTGCCGGCAAAGCAGGAAGGCCTGGAGAGAGGT